AATAATTTTAAAAATTTATTTATATTTTTTTTTTGACCTGTACAAGGTATCATGTAGTAGTGTGTCATATGGTTAGATACCACAAATCACACATAGTGGGTGGCCAGTCCTTTTTGTTATTTTTCTTGGTTTCCTGGCATGGTTTAAATCCAGATTGAGACTCCCCAGTACTTCAAATTTGCTGATTTTGCTACAGCAAGGTCTTTAAAGAGACATTGTCTGTTAGAGTCAAGCTCAACTTTTAGGTTGATTCAAGAAAAAGATTTTACATACTAATGCATGTAGGAAGCTTGTAAATGCAGTTCCCAAGTCTGCAAGCACTTACACGTGTTTTACTCCACATGAGAGAGTAATCTCAGGCATGTGTTTTTGCTACTTGTGGGGATATAACAGGAGTCCGATTTATTATGCCTTTAGCCTTTAATAGATAATTTATTAAAGAAATGAACACATTTATCATGATTACTTTTCTAAAAATAAAGTGATGCAATTAAAATACCAGAACATAAAGAAAGCAGTCCTGCTACAGTATTTAATAAGATTGCTAATGCTGTATGAATTTAAATCGGTATGAAACTGATCTCTGGCAGTTGGTTGTCAAACTGACTCTTTTCCTAGTAAGTGCACAAATACATTTTTTTGAATCTATGATTTTGAGATCTCACTTGAACTTAGTTTTCATCAGAGGCTAATTTGATGAGTGATCTGATGGTTTCTTCCAGGTCCCTTCTAATAAATTTGTAACTGAATTTTTAATAGTGTGGTAGGGATTTTTCTTGCCTTTGAGTCAAATTCTCCTTTTCAGTAGGAACAAAATGTTGATATTTTGCCTGGACATTTATCTTCCAATGGTTGTCCAGTCAGTGCACATAATGTTCTGTTAATATTAGAGCTGGCATTTCTAAAGGGAAAGAAAAAAAGTTAAGACTGTTACTTTCTTTTGGAGGTGGAGGAGATGGGGAGTGGGAGCAGAAACTTATTAAACACAGCATTCTTGGTATTCCACAGGTGGTAAAAATGGGTTACTAGTCTGCACTGCAGCAAGTGCAGTGTGATCAGGGCGGAAATATAATCGGTAGCTAGACATTCATTTTATTTACAGAAATAAAATACTAAGCACTATTTTAATAACTTTAAATGACAGAGCCCATATATGTATTGTACATTCAATTTGAGTAGTCTAGACAGACTGTTTTCCAAGGAAAATACGTTTTCATCAGTATTTGTGGTATGATTCATGGTGGTGAAGAGGCAAATAACTCTTTTTATGACTGGAAGTTGCTTTAACTTGCAGCCACAAGGAAACAAGTCAATGACCGGATGATAGTGGTGGAAACTAACATTTTCTAGTAATAGAGGTCTGCACCTTATGCTGAGTTGTAGGTTTTCTTTTTCTAGGGATGGCAATATATCACAAAACATTCTACCAGTGTTTACAAACAACTAAAGGTGGTCTGTATAACTGCAGTCTGCAATTCAGATTTGCAAAGCTTACAGGTGACTTAAAAGGTAGACGGGCTGTCAGGAGGCTGTGATTTGGTCTAAGTAATTGTAAAGCTTTGTGCATGCCCCCAGTGTAGAGGGGGCACCCCAGCATTATCTGTTGTGCATAGTTAATGGTTAGCAAAGCATTAGAGAGATATACAAGTTTGCTAGCCTTATCTTTGCAATTTGGCAAGCGATGTACAGCTTCGTATGTGCTCTTACTTGATGTGTTTTGTTTCTTTATGTAACTCCAGTAAAGGCAGAAGACTGTACTTGTAACTATCTCTGTGCAGTTCCTCACCACCCCGCTCCAAAAAAAAAAAGAAAAAAAAGGATAGAAATCTCTCCTTAGGCCTCTTGTAAGCCTCTGCAGCACAGGTCAAGGTTTTTCAAAATGATTGATGAGCAAGTTCATGGGCTCCTCTTCTTGACTAGAGAAACTGTAGTATGAATTTGAATGGTAACTGTGATTGTCCACTGAGAAAAATGAAGCAACCCTAAAACATATTCTGTGAGGAAATAAGTCTTACCAGCAATAAACTCTTAACTCTTGGAACTTTAATAATTTTTTAAAAAAAATTATCACCTGACCATATGGGCCAGAAAGAAAGCGCATACTTTATTTTAAACTCATAGTGCTTCAAATCTTTGTCCTAAATTTCAAGGATTTTAAGTTTTCATCTAATACACAGTCTGATTCTGCAAATGACACTGTGTGGAATGACATCTCTGTGCGGAGCAAGATGCAGGGTCAGACATGTGAAAGGTGTGTTCTTCAGACCATCTGGGTAGTATTGCAGTATAATTGTTAAATGAAGGAGTGCTAGAGGTTGATTCAATTAGTGTGTTATCATAAGAGATTGAAAGGAAAAAGTGGAGCTGTGATCTTGAAGGTCCTGAGCTACTGGAGTGTGTTTAAACCATCCTCATGTAGGGCCATGAAGCATCAGCTGCCTCACCTTTTGCGTGGGTGGCATTGAATGACTCTTAAAAGATTAGTTTGTGCATAGACATACATTTAGTTACCAAAATTCATTCAGAAAAGAGTGTTTCCCACTGTACACATTGCCCTGTTGCAATAAAGAGATTATTTTTGTAGAACCTAGAAAATTCTCTGTAACCCAATGCAGTCTGGTTGTGAAAGCAACGTAAAAGCTGAATAGCTGCATTTGCTAAAGAGCATCCTGCTTTCATAAGAACCATTGAAATCTCAATGGGGGAAAAAAATCTCCTCACTTCTGGGATCAATCTATGTATCAAAAGTTACATCTTAGTGCATGTAATTTCACAGTGGTTGACCATCAGATTAAAAATAGTCTTGTTGGCCACACACAGCATAACAGTTATTAAATTAAAATGTAGTTGTGTTGATAGCTACAGAGTTATTTTCTAAAGTCAGTGCTTACAGACACCAGCAGCTAGGGAGTGGACTTAAGACAATCAGCCCTATAGAAAAGGTATTTCCCAAGTGCTAGCTAAAGCAGCTTCTAAGAGTGGTTGATGATTATTTTTAGGTTCATAAAGATGGTAATTTTCAGGGGAAAAGTATTTTTCTTTCCTTTTTTTTCCCTTCCCCTCTTCAGAAAGCACATGGCTTATTGAACGGATGGCAAAATGGTTTCAGCTATGCAATGAAGCTTGTCTTACTTGGCTTCTAGATTTTCTTGCTTTTGCAATAAGGACAATTGTTGGAGAGGAGAAAAGCAGTATCTGCATTCTTCAAATTTCTAAGCATAGTTGCATCCTGTGTTGCAGCAGTCAAGTCCAGTAGAGGTAAATCAAAACAGAGAAATATGGAAATGAAATGTGAGGAAGAGACTTCCGTAGTTGAGAATGCAGTACTTTAGTTTTATTGTAGCATTCACATTCTTTAACATATGCATACCTTGCTGGGAATTGACAACTCTGGCTGGAATTTTTGGGGCTTCTCTTTTAAAGCATAAATACCAAAGTATAGATTTCCAATGCTTATATCAAAATTCACTGTAGCTTGGTGCTAAGCTAGTACATTTTATCTAGACTCATCTTTGAGAGAACTCTGTATATGAGACATTTACAGACTCCAAGACCATGAAGTGTAGTTTTGGGAGGTAGTTTGAATTTTTTAAGCATCACCACACAGATACTAGTGTGATGGGATTCAGAGAGCATGCTATGATGAGCTGCTCTGGTTGTGGTGCTCTAATGACTTTTAATGTGGTTTGCCTCTCTTCATCATTGACTTCTCATTTGTGACTGCTGAACATGGCGTATAGAATCACAGGATGGTTTGGCTTGGAAGGGACCTTTAAAGATCACCTAGTCCAACCCGCCTGTCATAGGCAGGGACACCTTCTACTACAACAGGTAGCTGAAAGCCCCATCTAGCTTGGCCTTGAACACTTCCAGGGGGGCAGGGGAATCCACAGCTTCTCTGGGCAACGTGTTCCAGTGTCTCACCACCCTCATAATAAAAAATTTTCTTCCTTATGTCCAACCTTAACCTACCCTCTTTCAATTTAAAAGTGGTGCCCCTTTTCCTGTCAGTTCCTGTTGTGAACTGTGTTTAATATATACCATTGACCTGACGTCACATTAAGTACTCTGAAATGAGCTGTATTTTTTGTAATACGAGGTGTGGGGCTTTCTTTGGTTGTGGTATTTTGTTGTTTTTTGGTTTGTATAGGGAAAGGGAGGTTTCAGGCACTTTCAGAAGCAGTGTAGCAGTTGCGTTGTGACAGAGCACAGGAATTGATTGGACAGATTGTGATCTGGGTCCTGTTGTGTGTAATCTGTACTCCTGGCCTAGTTCCATTACCTCAGGTGTTTGGGAAATCACACCTTTCTTTTAAATTGCTGAGATTCAACACACGAGATTCCTTGCATGGGGAGATGTTGCATTATCAAAACATTCCCTGTTTCTGCTTAGATGTGAATAGATACAGTAGCTTTTGTCTCACAGATTATCTGCTTGTCCGTATATTGATTTGTGTCCTCTAGTTAAAGAAAAATGTTAACCATCACTGCTTAAAAACAAGCACTTACAGATGAAACTTCCTTTTTCCATAGTACATCTGGAATCATGACATTTTCCTGGGTCTTCCTTGTTGAGGTCATCATGACTGAAGAAGGGCAATGTTGACCACTTGCACAAATATTAAGACTTGAGTGTGTGATTAATGGAGATTTTGTAGATATTGTACTGTAAATGTAGTTGTAGTTGTAGCCTTTAATCTTTCTTACAGTAAGGATGGCAACTTTTAAAAGATCCTCAACTTTTTTTCCCCCCTAGTCTGTATTATATCTTGACAGCTTAATCTCTAAGAAATAAAGTATAATTGATAGGTGAAATAGGTCAAGCAAATTTCAGGTAGATTTGAGTATAATCAAGGTATCTCTTTGAGACACACCTTTCTCATAGTAAAGTAGATAAGGAGTTCACCAAGACAGGTAATATGCTATTCCTAGGATTTACTGCCTTGTTAGTTGTTTCTAGCAGGGAAGTATTTCCATAAAATATCTGTTGGAAAAGTAGCATGCCTGTGCTTGCTGTCCTTCTGAAAAATTCTCAGTCAACAGGATGGGGACCAGATGGATGGGAAAAGCGGAAGCATAATGGTGAGCTGAAAATAATAAAAAAAGTACAGATGTGCAAGGAGAGGGAACAGAGATATAAGAACTAAAGCAAAAGGAAAATATGGCTCAAAATGCATTATGGAGAGGACATACGTGTTTTGGACTTAAAAAAATATAGGGGAAAAAAAGTTACTGTTCTCTAAGCCCAAGTGACCACATTTTAGTCTTGCTTGCTTTTTGCTCCCAAGGGGACATATGCCCAGAGCTGTGTAGCAAATCTGTTTGCCAGCTGGCACAGCACCTTTCAAAGAGACTTAATTTTATATTTTCAGAAACTGGCAGTATCAGCCACCTCCATATGTAATAGTCTGCTGTTTATAATATCTGTTAAACTGCATTTTAACATTTAATTGTCTTTGCCAACCTATTAATAAGGGCCAGGCTATTGAGAGCTGTCAATAAGGCCCAAGAAAGTGTTTTAATTTTGTGAGATCTGTGAGTTTGTGTTTTTGTTTTTCATGAATTTACATCTTTTGGCAGGCTCTATGATATTAACTTGTATGGTAAAATATCATCTTCCCTTATGGTAAAATATCATCTTCCCATATTAAGAGGAGGCTGGAATAAATCCTTTATAGTAATAGAAGGAATCTGACGTATTACATTCAGTGTTAGAATTGGAGTCCGTCTTACTTGGACTGCTGGCTTTAGTTTTTCTGGGATAGAAATCAGAAAGTATTGAGCATGTCATCATATAACATAATGATTCATCTAGCTAATAGGATTTAATGTGGGTAGAGAGGGAACAGATTCAGTTCTCTTGCTCGGGCTCAACCTGCTGTGATAAAACTTGCAAGCTGACTCTGGCCAGCTTAGGGAGTGTGCCTGGGGAGCTCTCTTAGTAGCAGGCAGAGCTGCTTTTGCAGAGTTCAGATGATGACAGGCGGCCTGTTTGTGTTAATTTAATATGAGGAAGAAAGCCCCCTCAGATCTGGAGGAGGCAAAACAACCACTTCCATGTGGCAGCCACTGGTGCAGCATGGGGCTGCTTCATTTCCTACCAAGGGTAGCTCCAAGCTTTTGTTGATACCAGTTTGAAACCCTGGAGGGATCAATCAGTTCTTGTAATCACTAGTAACCAATGCTTGATATCCATAGGAGTCTAACTGAGGAAAAGCAGTTTTGTTTTGGGTATAATTCTAGAATAGTTTGTAAAATTATTTGCATTAGAGAACAATATGCAAATGTTTATGTACAGTGCACCCAAAGCTTAATTGAGATGAATTCTGTAGGGTATTGCTGTAATGTTGAAGCTCATAATTTATATTAAATTTATTATTGTTTCTTTGAATTCCTCTTAATATATTTTCTATTTTTCTTTTCAGCTCTTCGTTGTAGTCTCCAGTTTCTTGGAAACATTGCAGCAGGAAATGGAGATTCCCAGAATAGCATTTGGAAGTGTGCTTTCCCAGATCTCTTCTTGTAAGCATGGATGCGGGTTTTTTCTCCTAATGTAATTTCTGTGGTTATATTCAAATCTTTTGTACATGATTCTTGTGCCTCTACTAGCACCATGAAACTTTGAAAAATAACTTTGGTGAGAATGGGATGGTTGAGACCATATCCTGTAGATGTTTTTTTTGTTAGTCAACCGCAGGGGTCAGGACCTTTAAAAACCTGCTTGTTCTAAACTAACGGTAAACTGATTTTATTTAACAGAAACTGGAATACAACTCTATTTCAAATTACGAGCTTCAAGCATAAGCTTTATTTTGGAGGTATTTTCCTGTAGTTATACTCATTTCCAAGAACACAGCTTTTTCTTTATTCACTTTGCTGCTGAGCAGACCTGTCAGAATTTGTGAATCATAGAGAATCTGCCCAAGTGACTTAATCTTTGTATTTTCCAAGCCTTATTTCCCCCTCCTAACCTCACTAGCATATCATACAGGAGGTTTAACGTTGTATGTGTAGTGAAACATTACATAAATAATTTTGTCCAGACACATGACAATATTGTTGATGTGTCTGGCCGAATTTTTTGTAGTGAGCTAGTAACAAAGGCACATTCATTCAATTTGATAATCATTCTGAGTGTTTTCTGAACACACTTAATTGAGTATAGAAAGACTGTTTGATAGTGGAAGGAGATACTATGGTTTCACCCAATTTCCAGATCTCCGGTTAGCTCCAATTTAGCATTAATTTTGTTAAAACTGATAACTGTATGGCTGTTAAGTTCAACCTTCAGGTAGGAGTTGGATGTTTTCCTTTGCAGATGACTTCTACCCCAATTGGGCAGTGACAAACTTGTGATTCTCTAAAAGACAGCAGAGAAGAACAACTCAGTGAGCTGAATGCCACTAAGCCATTTTTCCAAGGTCTGTTTTAAATTACTCTCCTAACTCCTTATTTTCTCTTGAAGGACATGCTTGACATACAGTGATGAGAAAGTTATTGCCTATTGTTGCATGGTCCTGTTCACCTGCCTTAATTCAGAGAGAGTGAGAGAACTACTGGATCCTGGGAACTTGCCTGTAGCTCTTCGTGTCTTGAAAGTCTACAAAGAGCAGTTGGAGTCAGAGTGGTCGTACGTACCTTTAGATTATGTTTTTCCACTTCTTAATTAGCTGTTTTTCTAGTGAGGATTGCTGTATTAAAAGGTCTAAAATTGTGACACTGCTAAGTAGTAAATGAAGACCTATTTAGAAGTCAGTAATTTGGTATAGAGATATTTTTCACAAGAGTTAGGTGACTGCTTTGATTGCTGTGAAAGTGAGACTGTGTTTTAGCTGAGAATATAGGCAGGAATTTAAAAATCATGCTCTTTTAAAATGAAATAGGATTCTAGGATGCAAACTAATTTACACTCTGGAGATTTTTGAAATAAAGTTAACACAAAATGTAATCTCACAGACTTTGGTTATTGGGTCACGCTAAGACTTGTATGACTAATGCTTGTGAGCACTACATAAAACATGGTGAGTTTTTTCTTTTTTTTTTTTAACAGATATGCTATCTAACACAACATACAATCATTTTTATACCAAAAGAGAGAAGATGCTTTATTTGTGAATATTGCACATTTTATTTTCATAGCCTAAGAACACCTAATCAGTAGTTTTATTCCATTGAGCTTTTATATGTTTTTGCTAATGGCCACGCTTGTGAATGTTGTTGTCAGGTATGCATTTGAGAAATGTACTGCCCTGCATCAATGAGGATACATATTCAGTTAATTGTTAAGAGATGCATTTCAAGGGGGGGGGGGAAAGATAGTTTGTATATTTTTGTAGTATTCTTTTAAAGTTCATGTTTAAATGGAAAAGAAAATGATTGGGAAGAAGTGTAAGAGGTTTTACTAGTTATTTGGAAAGTTTTTGAACATAGGATGATTGAGTGAAATGTCATTTAATAGTTGGTTTTGTATTGAAAAACTGACTTTGAAATTTATTTGTGACTAGGCTTTTCTAATAACCAGGTCAGTCTGCTTAGGACATAAATAGTTTTCAGAAAGCAAACTTAAAATTTTAGGGTCAAGTGACCAGACTTCTGTTTCATAAGTGACAAACTGAGTTTTTAGGGTCTCGATGTGTCAATATAAACACATGTGGAAGATTGCTTTTCAGATAATTATCTCGATTATCCTTCATTCTCCTTATGTGTTGAAAATAATGCTGAAATGTATTTTGACTGACAAAGGGAAGCCAGGGGTAGCTGGAAGAGGTCATCAGGGTGTTAAATTTATGTTTTGGAGGTTATTGTGAATTTTTTTTCATTGCAAATTATCAGGAGGTTTTTTTTGGTTATCTGGACAGTGGTAATGCAGCATGTATTTCATAGGCAATAAGTTGTTTTTAGCTTAACTTTAATTGCAGAGGATATTCACTTAACCTATGAATAATTGTCTGTGTTTTCACAACGTACCTGCAGCTTGTATCTTGTATTCTTCTGTGCCTTTTTCTAGTAGTTCTTCATTTGTAAACCACATACTCTAAGTGTGCTTACAAGGATTACACCTGATGTCACACACTGAACCTCCCAGTCCAAGTATTTTTTTTTCCCTAGAATATTAGAATTGGTTTGTTTTGAGGGTAGTGTTGAGTCGAGTCTGAAAGCCTGGGTTTTTTTATTAGTGCTAATCCATATACTGTGCGATAAACGCAGATGGATACAGTGGTGTAATATAATGATGAGACCTTGTGTTGCTTGCTTGCTTGCTTTCCTTTTTCCTGTTGCAGAGCAGTAGGAAGCAAGCTAGCTAGCTCTAGTGCTGACTTTCTTATGTCCTGCCTACTTAAGCCGTTTCCTCTGCCAGTCCTTCAAATTTAGAAGGAAGCTCTATTCATGCTAGCCATGTTGCATCTATTTTCTGTAGAAACTTTGGTGAACTTTTCACCGCTCTCTATTTACCAGCGTAAAGTGCTGCTCTGTTCCTGTGATCAGAGAGACCAGGCAGAGTCCACCAATGACCTCCCTAACATGTACTTCACTGTGAACAGAAAAGCTGAATAGTAAACAAGATTTTTTATTTTGATAGAAGTAATGTTATTTACTTTGGCTGATACAAACTGAAGATTCTTATCTTGAATATAAGAACTTTTTTATTTTTTATTTTTTTTACAACAATAAGTGAAAAGCTAAGTTTTGTCCTTGGCTCAGTGTAGTGGCTCATGTAGTAAGACTGTTTCTTTAGAACACCTTTTGAAATTGTGTGGGTTTGTTGTGCCTTATGCTGATAGTAGAAGGCTCTAATGAGTTAATAGCTATTTCTAAAACATTTTTGGATATTCAGTAAATTGCAGTTTCCTGCGATTAGGTGTGTTAAAGGCATGGCCATTGCTGCTTTAAGGAGATGTTTAGAATGAGTTTGGATTCTGACATGTTGCTGCCCTTAGTTTGCTGTCTGTTTTGATTATTCCTTGCATATAATCTTCCTGATTTGAACTAATTCTTGGGCTGTTACTAAAGCACTTTCTTTTTTTTTTCCCCTCACCAAAGAACTATATTACTGTCTGATACAGAAGAGTGTGCATGAGCTATAGCTGGGTAAGAGTGGATAGAAAGATTTCTGTCCCTTTTCTTATGAAGTTAAAGCTAAGTTTTGGATGCCTTTCTGGTTGGATGGTAGAAAAAATTTTTTGTCAGCAATTCATTGAAAATTTGGAAATACCACTAGGATTGTTTAAATGAATTTATATAGGCATGGTATTTCCAACAGGGATAGTACTCTCTTGTAAAGATTTGGGTCCCTTGTGCCACAGCCAACCGAGTTGCATAGCCACCATTTTTAAGTGGCTGCTGCGGTATTATGTGGCTGAGCTGAAATAAGAGCTATTCTTCCAGGAGGTTATGTTCACTGCTGAATTCACAAATTAGGATGTTTCTGCTTTTAAAATTAAAAGTATTAGTTAATTCCTGCCTAGATTCTTGTCTCTCAGTTGGCCATCCAGTTTCATATTACACTATATATAAAATGAATGCCACGTGTGTTTATTCCTTTTGGCAAGGGGTTTCTTGTCAAATGCTGCTTTTGGGTATTGAAAAGTTCTTGGTTATAGGCAAAATTTTTATTCACAATTTTATTCCCATTTCTTTTATTGTGCACTGAAGTTTGCCTTAAATGTTCTTCTTAGTTAGTATCCAAATGAATACTAAAAATAGACTCATGATACTCAAGTTATTTTTGTAGTTGCTGCCATGAACTGTTAGGACAGAGAGAGGACATCCAGGACAAATATTTGGATTTAAGGCCATTGGCTGAACCGTAGTAAAGACCCCATGGGAGAGACTATCACGTGTTGGATTTTCTACTCTTCACCCATCACAGGAGGGCAAGCACATCTTTAAAATATTTTTTTTTCGTGAATTGGCAATTCCTCCTCTGTTCATGATCCCACAGTTATGTTCAGAGTACAGTTTTCCATCTCCAAGCTGAAAGAGACCTTAGGGAGAGTTCAGGAGGAACCTCTTTCCAAGTGTGATGCCTTTGGCTTCTCTCTTCAGTCTTGCAGCAGTTCTGCCGGGAGATTTTGTCAGAGGAAAGCTGAGATTATTCTAAGCAGTTCCTTAGAGACCCATTTTTAGAAGCTGCTGTTGGTAGTGAACCTCTTGCAGTTGTTCCTCTGTTTGCCATAAACTCTCCCTCCCATTTAAAGACAACAGAGGAAGTGTCTTTAAAGGCAGAATGTAGCTTTTTGAAATTTCCTGTCATAACTGCCTGCATCTCAAATCATGAGACATTCAGTAGAAGATAAGGATCTCCTGTTGTTGGGGAAGAGGGAATGTCCGAAATTCTGGTTATGGGATAGGTTATGGGATGTAAGGCCTCGTTTTAGTGACTTCTGAATCTAATCAGTAATGGAAAGCCAAGCCATCCAATTTCTAAATGGTTTTTGAGACAGCAGAGAACTATTTTGGCAAATCAGCTTAGTGAGGTTTTGAGACTATAAGCACTGATGCATTTTTAAAATGTCTTTGTAGATGGACAGCATAACAACAATTACCTGAGATCTTAGAAGAAAGAGAGGTAACAGTGCTATGATGGACACCTAAGCGTATGTTCAGGAGTGATACATGTTTTATTAAGTATTTTCTGTGACATGCTGTGAGCTGAGAAATAGTTAATCAATTTAATAAGGAAGTCAATTCTGTAAGGAATGCCTTGATCAAATTTTCTATTCCATCCTTGTATGATCATACCTGTTTATCCAGACCAGATGGTCTGAAGGCTCATGTCATTAAACTTGTGGTTACTTGGAAGCATTAGAAATGCTTCTATCTCTGAAATCTGTGAAGGTGCAGAATGTAATTCACACATTTAATAAATATTCTTCTTGTTTGAAACTGATGCCTACTCCCTCTTTCTCTTTAAGAAGCTTGATCCTCTTAACAGCTCCAAGATTTTTTGATGTTGATACCTTTGCTATCTTTAACAGCAGATGCTGAATGGTGTTTCAAAATAGTATTAATTAACATATATTAGACAATGTGTTTTTAAACTGCCTCTAAACTTCTAGTCAATGCGGCACCTGGACTTGTTTCAGGCTAGCAATCCTGTAATCTCAAATACTAGGAGCTATTCTGAGGTTGCTGCTACTGGACTGACTCCCAAGAGCGATGATCTGAGGAGGCAGATTGTATATCTCCAAGTGAGGTTCTTCAAAACATTACCTGACTGGCTGTATACTCCTTTGTTTTGTAGCTTTTGGCTAAAATCTTAGAGCAAGAAGAAACTGGAAGTTTTCAGGACTGAAAGCTGTTGAAACTTAACTGTCTTATCCTGACTGTTGGATCTGTAGTTAAGTTTGCAGAGAGTGCCCAGAGCTTGCTGCTCTCGGAAAGTTTCAAGGAGTATGATGTTACAGAATATACTTTGCAAAGACCCTGGTTCTGCAGAAACAAGTTTCCTTTCTTTGCTTTGATTTATGGCATACACTAATTAAATAGTCCTATCTCCTCGCTGATTTTTTGCTGTGCAGTTGTCTTCTACAAAACACATTGTTCTTTGCAACATGTAGCTACTATCTAGGCTGTCAGCTTAAGAATGAATACCCTCTAACTTTGAAAAACTTCCATGCTGTGACAATT